CCCGGTCTTCCTGGCCACAGACTACTTGCGGTACAAGCCCGTGGTCCTGCTGCAGGGCCTGAGCCTCATTATTACCTGGTTCATGCTGCTGTATGCCGAGGGGCTGCGGGCTATCCAGTTCCTCGAGTTCTTCTACGGGATGGGGACAGCTGCTGATATTGCCTATTACTCCTACATCTACAGCATTGTCGATATCAACCTGTACCAGAAGGTCACCAGTTACTGCCGGAGTGCCACCCTAGTGGGCTACACGGTGGGCTCTGTGTCTGGGCAGGTCCTAGTGTCGGTGGCAGGATGGTCCCTCTTCAGCTTGAACGTTATCTCCCTAACCAGCATATCGGTTGCCTTTGGCACAGCATGGTTCCTGCCGATGCCACAAAAAAGCCTTTTCTTTCACCACGTCTCAAGTCAGCAGCTCAGCTGGGAAATGAAGGTCATGGACTGTAAAAATGGGTCAGCTGTCCAAGATCATTCCAGTGTGCAGAGGGTACCTGGCTGGGAGGATGAAACAAAAGTTCCTTTAAATGGGGAGAGTCATTCAGCGGAGAAACGGGTGAGTTGTGCCCTGGGTTTACATAAGCAGAAGATGCAATATTGATGTGTCTGTCAGGCATGTGTACATATGTATGCATTCACATGTGCATATATATTTGTAGAAGTAGAGATGTAATATCCAACAATGAAAAGTGTCTCTTTGCTTATCGTGCTTCTATGTTCATGACACGGGAAAATTTATTCCTGGCTTCCTTTTTGCTGATTGAACATGGTAAGCTGCTCCTTAGTTTCTCTGAAGTGATTCTGCAGGCCTTACAGGGCTGTGATTAAATTCTTTGAACATAGAATTGACTTTCAATTCTACAAAGCATGGGGTGTTGTGTATATGTCTATATTTTGTGTGGGCTTATGGATGCACCCTGTGACTTGCAGAAAAGAGGCAATTCTTCCTGCACTTGCATTCTCAAAACACTTGTTACTTCAACTGTTGTGCAAGTTATGCAGTAATAAGCTGTGTAGTAACTGGGTTTTATCTTGAGGTCCTTGAAGGAAAACAGGCCAGGAAGGAAGCTGCGGTAGTTCTTGAGAGCACTTACAGGCTGGCATTGGTTAGTTACACTTGGATAGAACATGGATAAATTACAGGAAACACCTGTATAGTAACAGCTTAATGCAGCCTGCAAGGGCACCAACATGGTGCCCTGACTTATGGCTTTTGTGGGCTACATTATCTCTAACAAAGTCACTTGTATGGAAAGAAGCATACAGGTGTCTGTGTTTGGTGGTGGGACATGCTGGGTCCTGTGAGGTGATGAGCAAGGAACCTTTGCTTTTGAGGCCCAAGGTGTGTGAGCAGCTGCCTGCTGGGCAGGTCTTTGCCACACTGCTCCAGGTGATGCACAGCTACGCAGAACCTGTCGCAGCAGGGGGATTTGAGGCCCTGGGGAGAGGTTGGTCATGCTCCTCGGTCAGGAGGAGATTGTACTCTTTCTGAGAACAAGCCAGAAGGTTAGTACAGCTGTTTGTTTAGTCAGCAAGTGGGTATTTCACTTATCATGTAAGCTCTGTTTTGCTGGGTCAGGGGAGGCAGCATCTGGGGCCTCTTTCAGCTTCTTGCAGCTACAGCTGGGAGTTAAAGGTATTAACATTCCAAGGACCTAATCCTGCCCATGCAGCACGACCTCATGTGAGCAAAAGTACTTCTAACCATGTTATGTTTGTATGCTGGAGGGTATGTGTTAAACAAGACAAATTCTCAGCCAATAATGACCAAGGTATTAATATAACTTAGTCATCCCTTTTGTTTATCTTACTCCCATGCTGTGAGAGCAAGGGTGGTTCCAAACTAATGGTGAAAATTCGACAAAGGAGCAACTACACTTGCATAACTTGCCAGAGTTCAGTTATACCAGGTTCTCACAGCCAAAGTGGAGAAGCGTTGGCGTGTGCTGATAGTTCTTATTATTAAGGTAATGGCAACCGTATTTAAGGAATGTAAGTAAATGACTGCACAGGTAGCTGTACCACTGCCAGGTGGTGGGTGGACTTTTTTGGCTTATCAGGCACATGCTTGGGTTGAATGTGCCAAATCATTTTTCGCAGTGTAGGGGACAGTTCCCTTCCCTAGTTTTCCTGTGCTTAAGCTTGAGCTTTGCATGAAACCTTCTGTGTGGGAGTTACATTGCTGAAATCGTGTTGCCACAAGCTGACCTCTTCCCAAGTTGTCTGTTGGACTTTGGCAGGATGGTGTCCACATGTGGAGCAAGTGTTCTGCCTTTGGGGCTGTGTGATGATAAGTAAAGATGCTTGAAAATCAGTGACGCTTTGAGGGGTGTCAAAAATGGAACAGTTAGGCTATGGTTTTAGTAGAAACACCCTGAAGTGAGTTTTATTGCTCGTGGAGAATAGTTTTTTTCCAGGCACGCACTACGCAATTCCCCGAGGGAAAGGGCTTACCGCCAAGAGTCCAAAGTTGCTGCTGCTGTCCGGAACCTGCTCTGAAACTAGATGTGCAACAGCATCATGTGCAATAGCTCAGTCCTGTGACTGTGCTTTCCCCTACAGGGAATCCAAGCTCTTGAGGGCTAGAGACACTGGGTGGGCCTTAGGAGCTCTGCCCAGCCTCTCTTGAAGTAACCGCTGCTCTGACTTACGCAAGAAGAGTCTTGCCTGTCTGCACAGACTCTGTAGGTGTGTGCATGGCACAAACACCATCAGCAGCTCTGTCTACAATGTAGAGACAAGTTTGTTTCTTCTGTTGCTGTTGGCACAAAGTGGTTAGGAACAGGACTGTAATTGCCTGTATGTAAAAAGCGATTTTTGTTTGTTGTCATCCTCTGTTGCTCAAACTAATCTATTTTCATTTTTTTTAAAATTTTAACTTAATGCATCTGCCCACTTTTGTGCTCTTTCTAGAAAGATTTGGAGGGGAAAGCTTCATTTTTATCTCATGCCATTTGCAGAGCACTTGTATATACAGGAGCTGCTGGTTGTGATAGCAGTGTTTGGTGGAAATACCTTCTGTTTCTCTTCAGATCCCTAGGCAACCTTTCACCTCCTCAGAGCATTGGTGAACATTAACAGGCTAGAGTGTGATGTAGTGAGATTGCTTCTTTGAATATTTATAATCCCCGAATGCAAGTACTAAAGAAAATTGACTTATTTATGGGGAAATATACTAATCTGCTGGCTTTCACGTTCTCTGCACTACCAAATGTAGTTGAACTTGGATCAGGACTTTAAAGTGTCACTAATATTTTTGGCTTTTCTGATCTCATCAAAGTGGGTATCATGTCCTGTTCTCCTGGGTCATTTCTCTCTGGTACACTTCAGTTGCTCATGTTGTAATTTTAACATCGAGCAGTTACTGCTCTCTGCTTTAGAGAACCAGAGATTGAGGGATGCTTGGAACTGAACCCTCCCTCTGCATGCAAGGAGATGGCCCTGGTTGAGACAGAGATAAGTTGCTGAGACTTTGGGATGGAGAAAATTTTTATCCATTACTCTGTGGAGGTTTGTGTCCAAGAGTGGCACTGTCACTCACCGGTGATTAGACCTCTTGGAAGGGGTAATTTTGTGGAGCAGTGTGAAGTGTTTATAGGCAAAAACTAATATTTCTCTCCCTTCTCCAATCTCTGTGCAGGAGCAGAAAGTAGACATCGTACAAGTGCTTAAAGATCTCTGGCAGGACTTCCTGCAGTGCTACTCCTCCCGGACCATGCTCTGCTGGTCCGTGTGGTGGGCACTGTCCACCTGCGGCTACTTCCAGGTCATCAATTATGCTCAGGGCTTGTGGGAGATGGTGCTGCCTTCTCATAGCACAGAGATCTACAATGGTGCTGTGGAAGCAGCCTCAACGCTGCTAGGTAAGCTTCTGGTGTAGCTCCTGCTATGAGAAATGTCTGGTGTCCCTCAGGGTCGCCAGAGCATGGTTTGGAAGTGTCCTGTGTTCCCCTAACCACGCAGGAGAGGCAGCCCCAGCATTTGGGATGAGCCTTCCCTGATGTGCATGGGTATGGTGTTCAGTGTTGAGTTAGTTGCTTAACACAGCCCTAATTCTTGTAATCCGGTATGCAGGTATTTAAAGGAGTCTCCTAAGTCAGTCTTCATTCTGAAATACTTGGCAGAAGTCTCCCGGCATGTGGCTGACTGTATGTTCTTGGCTGTCGCTATGGCAGTAGGATTATGCTTGTTTTAACCACTCGAAGTCAGACTAAGGGTCTTAAGGATTTATTGCCTTTTTTTTTTTTTTCTCCTCCTCTGGCCGGGTAG